TCAGGATAATGAAAGGGTGGAAAGTAGCAATATGTGGTTCAGTAGGATCAGGGAAGTCAAGTTTACTCTGTAGTATTATGGGAGAGATTCCTAGAATTTCTGGATCAAGTATTAAGATAAATGGTTCAAAGGCATTTGTACCACAGAGTGCTTGGATTCAGACGGGCACTGTTAGAGACAATGTTCTGTTTGGCAAGGAAATGAATAAAGCACGTTATGATGATGTCGTGGAACGATGTGCTTTAAAACGTGACATTGAGATGTGGGCTGACGGAGATCTAAATTTGGTAGGAGAAAGAGGAATGAACCTAAGTGGTGGACAAAAGCAAAGAATTCAGTTGGCCAGAGCTATTTATAGTGATTCAGACATCTATCTGCTGGATGACCCTTTCAGTGCAGTTGATGCACAAACTGGAGCTCATATGTTCAAGGCAAGCTCTACATCCTACTTTTGTAGAATTCTTTTCAGTAATGTAGTTGCTCTTATTGATGTGCTATAATCCTTCATCATATTGCAGAAATGCTTAATCCAACATCTACAAGAAAAAACAGTTGTTTATGCCACTCACCAGTTGGAATTTTTAGATACTTCTGACCTCATCCTGGTAAGTTGAAATTATCTTAAGCTATTGGTTTTCAGGTTGATCGAAACAAACTAGAAAAGTATATCTTAGTTTTTATGCTCACCTGATATTGCTTAGGTAATGAAGGACGGAAGAATTGTTCAATCAGGAAAGTATAACAAGTTGATTGCAGATCCGGATGGTGAGCTACTAAGGCATATGGTGGCTCACAGTAAATCATTAGATCAAGTGAACCCTTCCCAAAAGTGCAGCTGCTTAACCAAGGGTAAGCATCAGAATAACCAAATTGAAGTCGAAGAGTGCTTTGAAGATCTTACCTGTGACAACAGGATCTTAGGAAGAACTCAGCAGGAAGATGCAGTATCAGGTCGAGTTAAATGGAAAGTCTACTCGACCTTTGTGACCTCGGCGTATAAAGGGGGCCTTGTACTTCCGGTCCTTCTATGCCAAGTTTTCTTCCAGGGACTGCAGATGGCAAGCAACTACTGGATTACATGGGGAACAGAAGAAGAAGGAAGGGTTACTAGCGAGAGATTAATTGGAATATTCGTGCTGATGTCAGGGGGAAGCTCTCTTTTCATCTTAGGAAGAGCAGTTATGCTTTCAACTATCGCAATTGAGACTGCTCAGAAGCTCTACATTGGAATGATCAAATCAATCTTCCGAGCACCCTTGTCATTCTTTGACTCCACTCCTTCCAGCAGAATTCTCAATAGGGTGAGTGTAGCAGCTGAAATGATCTACTTGTCTTGAAACGTGTCTATATTAAGTTCTTTGTTTCTCAAGACATGACTTTCTAGCTGCATCTATACTGAACTTTCAAGTTTTGTTTCTTTCTTGTCAGTCTTCTACGGACCAAAGCATCGTGGACACAGATATTCCGTATAGATTGGCTGGACTGGCATTTGCGCTTATTCAATTATTGAGCATTGTTGTCCTTATGTCCAATGTTGCCTGGCAGATCTTTTTTCTCTTCCTTCTGATACTGGCCCTCTCCATGTGGTATCAGGTAATAAGAAGCTCAACCTGAAGTTACTTTTGGTCCCTATTTACTTTTAACTGCCAGAAAATTATTGGAACTCAAACAATGAGTATTTTACTTCCCATAAAGATGGCCTTAGTGCTAATGATTCAGTTCTTATTGCAGGCTTATTACATTACCACTGCTAGAGAACTGGCAAGGATGATTGGCATTCAGAAAGCTCCAATCCTACATCATTTCTCTGAATCTCTCAACGGTGTAGCAACAATTCGTTGTTTTAACCAGGAAGACCGATTCTTGAAGAAGAATTTAAGTCTCATTGATGACTATTCTCGTGTTGTCTTTCACAACTCTGCTACAATGGAATGGCTGTGTGTTCGAATTAACTTTCTCTTCAATCTCATATTCTTCTTTCTTCTCGTCATCCTGGCACACCTTCCACGAGAGGCTATAGACCCCAGTAAGCTTTTATTCTTCTCCATTTCCATTTTCCATTTCATGCATCCTGTGTAGCACATCCCCAGGCAGTTAATCAACGAAATTCCAGGCAGTTTCTCTGGTGATGCATGACTAGACATAAGAAAAAGATCTTACCTTAAGAACTTACACAAAGTGAGGAAGTCAAATATATGATAACAACTTTTTCTTTCTCTCACTGTGATAAATGGCTTCAGTGTGTGATGTGACATGTTTCATCTGTTTGCAGGTTTAGCAGGACTAGCAGCTACCTATGGCTTAAATCTTAATGTTCTCCAAGCTTGGGTTATATGGAACCTTTGCAATGTCGAGAACAAAATGATATCAGTTGAGAGAATACTTCAGTTCAGCGACGTTCCTAGTGAAGCTCCACTGATAATTGAAAAGTCCAGGCCAAAACCCGATTGGCCTCTAAAAGGAAGAATTGAAATTAAAGATCTTCATGTACAATACAGCCCTGATCTCCCAAGAGTTCTAAAGGGTATAACCTGTACCTTTCCAGAGGGAAAGAAAATTGGTGTGGTTGGAAGAACAGGAAGTGGAAAGTCTACTTTGATCCAAGCTCTCTTCAGGGTTGTCGAACCATCTGAGGGATGCATTCTTATCGATGGAATAGACATTTCCAAGATTGGTTTGCAAGACCTGAGGTCTAAGTTGAGTATAATACCACAAGATCCAATTTTGTTCCAAGGAACAATTAGGACTAATCTTGATCCATTACAACAACATACAGATCAGGATATCTGGGAGGTAATATTATGAACTTCTTTTTTCTTTCGACTAAGTATGAGACTTTGTAACTTACTACGATATACCGTTCTGTATTATGAGCAATCTCACATGACTTTGTAACTTACTCTAAGAATGACTTCATATTTCAGGTCTTGCAAAAATGTCATTTAGCTGATATTGTAAAGCAGGATCTAAGGCTTCTTGATGCACCAGGTACTAATACTAGGTTCTGTGGTCTGAACCCACCTTTATATTCAAAATACACAACATTTGGAATGGGAAATAAATGATCAAGAATTTTTCGTTGCAGTTGCAGAAGACGGAGAAAACTTGAGCGTGGGTCAAAGGCAGATTGTGTGCCTAGCTAGGGTATTGCTACAGAAAAGGAGAATATTGGTACTTGATGAAGCTACTGCTTCAGTGGATACAGAGACGGACAATGTCATTCAGAAAACTATAAGAGAAGAAACAAATGAATGTACAGTTATAACAGTGGCACATCGGATACCCACAGTAATCGATAATGATCTTGTTTTAGTTCTTGGTGAAGGTAAAGATACAGGACCTAGCTCTAGCAACTCAAGCGCACACACAAAAAACACAGCATAACATTAGTAGTGGCAGAACCATAGAACAGCTGAGAATGCACACACGATATTATTCGAAATGTATTATATTTCCTGATAAAATTTGTCTCGTTTGATGCAGGAAACATTCTTGAGTTTGATACTCCTAACCGGTTATTGAAGAACAGTTCTTCAGCATTTTCAAATCTGGTGGCAGAATTTTTGCGGAGATCATCCAAGGGGTTAACCTAAAAGCATAGCACATTTGATAGTACATCTAGTTTAGATCATCTATAGGAAGGAATGACCAATTCAAAATCTGCCATTGTATAGTACAGAATCATAAACTGACATCAAAATTGAACTGGAGAAAATGCAGTAAGTTGAGCAGTCACTTCAAAAAGTATATTTCTTGTAACTGCCAACCAAAGGTGACATGAACCCTGCAAGATATGTAGAGTGTTTTATTCTTAATCCCCAACTCATAGTTCATGTACTTAGAGGAGCTATTTTCATGTAGACTGTTTTTTCTTGATCCCTAACTCTTTCTTGTTATTTGTATCATTTCTTGTCTGTTTTCCATCAGTTTATTCTCCTATGAGCTAACTATTCCCATAGCAACAATCACATTGCTAAGAATGACAAAGGCCAACAGAGCTTATATAAAGTTCAACCGAAACATAGATATAGTAAAAGGGAGTACGTACAATAACTTATGTGACCATCAACTCTTCATTTCATCCATTATTCTATATTTATGTCTTGAAACTTATGTAACATTTGAATCATTCATTAGCAAATTTACTACCCACTATCTTCCTATATCATCAACTATAAATAGTGTGGTGTTTCTTTGTGTTGGTAGAGGAGAAAAAACAACAAGAGAAGTACAAAGAAAATAAAAGAGAGAAAAGATGAGTAGTATTTTATTATGTTTATATTGAAACTAGAAGAATGTTTTTACTATTAAAGGAAAAAATGAAAATGCTTAAATTGAATTAACTTGTGAACGCCAACTATTTCACCAGATATTTTTTATCTATCACAAACATAAGTACTGAAAAATAACAAGTAAAGCAATGATTAGACAATGTTTTGAAAGTCATGTAAAATAAATTTTTATTTATTGTTTCAATTTGTTTGTCCTATTTTGATTTGACACCGGATGAAAAATGTATTGTATGATTTAATTATCGAAAAGGGATATACCTTCTTTGTTTAATAAACTAAAAAGGAAAGTTAGATAAATAAATTAAAACGGAAAGGTCTATTATTACCCCCTAGTAGAATGAAAACATTCGAGAGGTCTCAAAATGGAAAATGTATCATATATTAAAATTGGGCTGGAAGAAGTAATAAATGTATTGTACAATGGACATTATAATTCAATTATTCAAAATTACATTGTTTAAGATAAAAGAAGAACAGGTACACGATCAAATTGGAAGTAATTGTCAAGAAAAGGGAAGGGGAGAAATAGAACAAAATAAACTTTAGAATCTATGTTCGAAAAGAATTTCTAGTAATTCAAATTCTTAAATATTCTAGCGATAATAAATGAATCTAGCTAATTGACCTTGTATGTCCTCACATGTACATTGTAATTTTCCGGTTAGGATGAACCCCACTCATACTGATAGCAAAAATAGAGAGAGGCAGTAAACGTGGAAAGAAATTTGCTTGACTGATATTTTTCAATGCTGCTACTGCAGCCTTTTTTATGGCAAAATAAAACACAGACTTCGACTAAAAAAATTAGGAATTAGCATACAAAGCTTTCTCCTAAAAACTAGACGTATAAAAACAACTTCCTAAAGACCAGGACAAACCTATCAGATAGGAGTCTTATTTACTACCAGCTCTTAGTGAACTAACAGGACTCTTTTAAACACCCTGGCTCCGCAATTTGACAAGTCATTTCATTGTTTGAATCACAGGTGAACTATTTCTGCATTTACGCCATTGCTTCTGGGCGTCATCTCATGCAACAACTTCCTAAATTGAGCAATGTCACTCTAATTCACCTTGCTCTCGTGGTTATCAAATTCCCCATGAACCAACGACACATCAAGGGGATAAATTTATGGTTTCTGAGTGATGAAGATGATGTTGTCGCGGAGAAGTAGAAGGCTTTAGTCTTTTGAGAAGCAACCATGCATCAGAGGCAGAGCACCCCTGGTTCATTTCAGTAGCAACTGGAATTGGAGATTCTTCATTCAAATGAACAAGCATTGTTCCCTGCAAGACACATTGTCCAAGACATTTTCATGAACAGAGGCCAGAGCATATCTTTGAAGTACTAATTTTACGAGATCAAAATCCTTCAGCAGGTAACAGCTTTAAAGTCAATAACAATTGAGTTAATAATCATTTGTATTCTACTATTTTTTTCATGTTTCATGTACTCATGATTTATAAAAGGATCAATAATATGGGGTTGACACAGTTTATTAATCAAATACATGCATCGTCATGCCATTAAGACCTATCCCTGGACGCATATTTTTCACTTGGAGAGATGTGGTTGCCCTGTACTTCTTGATCCAACAAACAAATATGAACTTAGAAGATTCATGTGGAGTTCTCTATAAACAAAATTTCCTTCATGGATAGCAGTGAAATACCTCAAAATTAATCAAGAATTTCTGGAAACATTTCAGTGTCTCCTTCGTGTCACTGACTCGTTTTCTATCTGAAGAACTAAGAGCAGCATTTACCTCTGCAGGAGAAAAGCCTATTTTTTCCTGCACAAGCTGAAGCAGAAAAAAGTTAAAACAATAATCAGATTCTGACAGTCAGGGGGTGTCCAGTCTTCAATAACTTACAGCATGATCTATAAGGATCTCAGAGATTAGGCTGCCATCATCAACATAAACCCGAAGCTCGTATTTACTACTCTGTTTATACTGAAATCCCTTCACACCAGTAAGAAAGCACTGCAGATTTAAGGCAGATATCAGCTTCTTATTAACATGAAGATAATTCTACTTCGTAATCCCAACTTTTTGCACTAAAAATAAAAATAAAAATAGAGTTCACTGTTTTGTGATAATCTTAATCGAAATGGCTAATTACCAACTCTAAATGCACAAAAAAATCAAGACAAGGCACAATGATAGGCTGATAGCAAATGAACCAGAAATGCATAAAATTACGCAGCTAGGAAGAGGGATGCCAGTTATGGGGATTTTCTTGATAGATTGCAATTTGCCATTGGCTTAAGAAAAAATCCATTCCTACTTAAGCAATTTGCCATTGGAATTTCAGTCTTGTATTTTCATTATATTAATTTATAGAGATTATTCTGCTTGCGAGTATCTCCAATTGATCCATACAAATCATAGCCAAGTGGAAAAAGACCCAATTACTAAGGGTAAGATAGAAGAACGCAGTGAATTTTCTATATGGCAGCATCAGAGAAGTTGATATCACGAGGGAGAGCAAAACTTACCTTAATTTTTCCTGTAACAGTGGAAGCACTGCCATGCATACCAGCCTGCTTAGCTGACAGACTAGCTAAGTAAGTGAAAGGGTTTTCCTTTGCTCCAGAAAGTATATATGGATGGTCCAATTCATCAACCAAATCAATTTCATCAACGTCAATTGCTGCAGTAGACAATGTATCTGGTGTTACATCTTCATAATGGAAACTATCACTAGAGACACGAATGCTTCCTCTGCTCCTGCTACTGGCAGGTGTGGCAGGGTCACTTCTAATATCTGACAAAAGTTCCTCCACTTCCATGGAAGAAGAAGATGAAAGGACAGGGTCATTATGTTCCCTTCTAATTGGAACATCAATGCCTTCGGTGGTCATGTCAGCCATATGGATATCCTCTGCATGACTAGCTGCATCAGATGAAAAGGTAGGTCCAGTGTTCCTATTGAATGGGACAGAAACAGCTGGAGTAGATGGGAAATTAGATTGAGCCTCTCTTCTATAAACAGGAGTGGTGAATGACGTAGAATATGGTAGCCCAGATGTAACGGGATGAATTTCTTCAGTTGCAGTAGTAGCACTGCCAGATGTTCCTGCACCCCAAAGAGAGAGATTAAAAGAGAGATACCTCTGTTATTACAGTACATGTCACATGAGTGATATCTGGTCCAACGAGCAAGACCAGGGACGTAACCGTTCACCACAAGATGATACAAGAGGCTATATCTAGAACTTATTCCAATTTAAATATGTGAACCAATCTTTTATCTTGTAGCACTACCTTAGCTATCACTGTGGGATAAATGTTCTGCAAACTAACACTGAAACTAGAGTAAAAAACCCAAAAACTAAAGCTTCAAACACAAACTTGTGCGGAGAGAAGCCATCAAAAGGGAGCAATCTGACAAAATATCAGCTTCTCTCTCATACTAAAAGTCAGAAGACCAGCACCAAATAACCCAAAGTAGCACACAAATTGTTTTTCACATTGAAAGCAACACCAAAAACAAATGAACATGCAGTACATATACAGTATATCCTAAACTAATTGCAAAGAAGCTCTTTAGGGTGTCAAAGTACCTCGTTCATGAACCTGAAAATGCATATTTTGTCTTGAGGAAGTATCAGAGTGCTCTGGAACAGTAACACCTTCTCGTGGCCATGCAGCAGCGGTAGCTCTAGTTGCCAAAGGAGGAACCACGCCAGACCTTGTTCTGGCATTGGGCATAGACGAAGTAACTAAATAACCAAAAGTGATGAGGTTGTTTCTAGCATAACACTAATAAATCATGACAATACACCTTATTCACTCATTTGTAAACCAAATCCTATAACTGAGCAACAGATATTAAGACTTCACTAGAAGGTCAAGAAACAAAATGGACGAGGAAGGAGGAGGACAAAGTACCACTTTGCTAAGGTTCAGAGAAACAGCTCTTAACTTTAACCTTTAAGTCAGGACCATCAGAATATCTATTTGACCCTTAAGAATACCCCTGAAGAGACTTGAACATCAACTACTACACCATAATCCATGTTAGTTGGGGACTTGGGGTAGACTATTAGAATCCTCGTTTGATAACATTCAAATATCCAGTCAGCTAGGGTCCTCTAATGCTAGCACTGACCATCAACCTCTGCCATTCAAGTGAATTCAACACTTGTATAAGGCATCTACCAACAATATCAGAATTTGGTAATTAGGTTCAGACAGTAATGTTTTCTTGGTCCTTCGTCATACCTTTTCCCCCTCGGTGGCTTATTTATTTCATTAACTAGCCGCTTCCTTGCTTCTTCTAACTCTTCCACCATCCCACCCAGAACTTCAATAACTTCAGGGACCAACATCAGAATTCCATGCCTAACATGAACATGACAGATAGCAACCTGCAAAATGCAACAGCAATCTATATGAATATGAAAATAGTTTTGTGACGAATGCTATTCTTATCAATTCTCATCTTGTAAATAATACTTTAAAAGCTACTTGACAAACTAATAAACAACATAGTAATTGCTAATTGGTACTCCTTAAATATACCTTCAGTCCAGAAGGAGACAGAACATCGAGGTCTTTTATAGGCCTGTACTCCATCCCAAACACTCGTTGAATACCATCAGTCATGGACAATTTCAGACACCTCTTTATTCCAGCAGCTACTTTCTGATACCTATCTCGAAGAGGACAACTGATATTCACAATCTCATCTACCTTGAGGGAGAAGGGGATGAAACACTCAAGTAGTCAGAGTCACATTAAAGGTATAGGCTGACCAAATCTAAGGAAGCTTCTGGTACATTAAATCTAATTGCAAGAGATGTCATATTTAACTACCAACCTCTCCAAAATGGTTTCAGTAAGCAACTGTTATGAAACAAATTATGTGATTGAACTTTGATTTTCAAACCCAAGAACACGAATGAGCCTCTTCTCACTAATTGCCTTTTACTTCTTTTCTGAGGAGATAGATCAACATTTTTTAATAAATTTGGAACTTTTCTGTTGACTAACTGCTTGCAGAAAGTAATGAAGTTTTCTTGATAACTCCATAACTTTCTGATTTGGCTCTTAAGTTTTAATGTTACAAAGAAGAAATTATACTTTGTTTCAAATAAATAGGAGAAAAAGGAGCAAACAATAGAAGCTCGTTAATACCACAACTAACTGATGCCCGTTTCCAACTTCTTTCTCAGCAAACCAGTTCCTGAAATGCCTTCCCAAATAGTTCTAAGAAGTTCACGAAATTGTGAGCTACTTTCATCAACAAGAAAATAAGATAAGCTACTCATCCATGTGCATATTGAGCTTTCTTTAAGAAATTTCTTCCACAAAACATAACAAAACTAAAATATATAAATTCTCCTCGATGCACATTTAAAGAAGCCCCGTCCCTTTTGGTTACCCATATTAGATATTGTCTTCCAACCAGCTTTATATTGTGTTAAACCAATGTATTAGATAACTAAATAAGTTATTGAAGTCAAGACTCACATAGGTACTTCCATTTTAAAGAAATGCAACTAAAAGGATTCCTATAATAACTTCAAACAAAACTTGACCAAGATGTCAAGTCATAGCCTTTCATTTACGAACATGAAAGTCGAACTAATTCAATTTATAAAAGACAAATCAACAAACAACTTCAGCTTTTTCAGTATCACCAATGTGTTTTACAAATGTACTACACCCCAGCAAGTTGCTCCATGGTTACTCACCAATTTCAAAGCATTGAAACAACCTCCATGCAAAAATGCAAGAGAGTCTTGTACTAGTACCCTCAAGAGTAAGTGATAAAAATTTTAGATTTTGTATCAAGAGAGCAGTATGAGATGAGGGACATTCCCAATTTTCCTTACTTTCACTCTCCCCACCTCATTGCCGGTAAAGCTTTATTTTTTTTAAAACAAAATGACATATTTAAACCAAAATAGCAATAAAGTTCATCAGCATTTAGATTTCCACTATACCTGAAGAACAAAGGGCCCTTTAAGATCAACCAAATGCAGCTTGTGAACGTCCTTTGGAAGCATTCCTGCACCACAAAAATTCATATCCGAGTACAAAAACTGCTCGAAACAAAGTTTCGCCTTCGTCGTATCATCCAATCCAGAAAACTCTCCTACTACTGATCCTTCAAGTCCTCCAACACATGATTCTAACCATTCCCTCCGCAATCTTAGCCCTAATCCTTCCAATGCCCGACCAATGCCACAATCCGCAGCTCGTACAACTTCAGAAACGTCGACGTTTGGCTCACGATTAGGTGTAGGGTTCTGGATGGGAGAATTTAGGGTTACTGATTGGAAGTTAGTAGACGATTCTAGAATTTCAATTTCTATGTTGTTAGGATTTTCATTTTCTTCATTGCCGCCGGCGAATTGCTGAGGCTCGTCGTCGCCGTCTTCTTCGTCGGAGGAACAGATGATTTGGTGGCGTCTTCTGTTCATTGTTTTTCTGAAAAAATTTCCCTCCAAATTCTTTTGTTTGGGCTTTTTGTTCAATTTACATTGGAGGATTGAAGCAATTTGGGCTGATCAGTGGACTTTCTTAGTCTAGCCCGATTTGTTTTATCTGATTTGATCGACTTATGCAAATATCCATTTTATAGCTCAAAACTTACATTAAATGACTTATAGCATCCGCTTGACCTATGCATAAATTTTTAAGTTTTTATTTTAATTGTTATAAAGCATTTGTATTATATTGAATATCTATCATGTGGAGTCCTTTTTAGGATATGGTTAAAGAATTCTACTTGGAGATACAGTGCTCTTCTTCATTATAAATTCATTGATCAAGAGAAATAATAAATCTTCTATTCTTTTCTCTCCAGTTTCTTATTCTTATTCTATAGTTTTATAACACGTTATTAGCACGAGACTTTAATTTCTCAAAAGTGAAAGGTTAGATTTGAAGAATTAATAAATGTATTATTTATTCTTTTGTTTTTAATTTTAATGACCAATCTTACAAAACTAGAGTTCACTGCCCTTCAAAGTTCGGGCATGAACTATCTCTCATGAGTGTTGGATGCTGAAATCTACCTTGATGCAATGGGTCTTGGAGACACCATAAAAGAAGAAAATAAGACATCAAATCAAAACTGTGCACGAGCAATGATATTCTTGCGTCATCATCTTGATGAGATTCTGAAAATCGAATATCTGACAGTTAAGGATCCACTTGTTTTGTGGAAAAACCTAAAAGAAAGATTTAACCACTTGAAGATGGTGATACATCCAAAGGCACGATATGATTGGATGCATCTAAGGCTACAAGGCTTTAAGTCTATACATGAGTACAATTCTGTCATGTTCAGAATCACTTCTCAATTGAAATTATGTGGAGAAATGGTTAGTGAGATTGATATGATGAAAAACACAATCTTCACTTTCCATGCCTCGAATGTGCTCTTGCAGCAACAATATCGAGAGAAAGGTTTCAAAAAGTATTCTGAACTATTTTCTCATCTTTTGTGGCCGAGCAAAATAATAATTTATTGTTGAAAAATCATGAGAATCGACCTACTGAATTTGAACCACTTCCTGAAGTGAATGAGGCGTACGCCTACCATGCTAAGCGTGAAAAAGGTCGCGGTCCTAATCGTGGTCGCGGACGTAGACGTGGTCGTGGTCGTGATTATGGTCAAGAACGTAATTCTATTCCTGACATTAATCATTCATCAAATAAAAAGAAAAAAAGAAAGCATGAGAAATGTGAAGCAACTAGGGAATGTTGTTTTCGATGTAGTGGAAGAGGTCATTATGCACGTGATTGTCGTACTCCCAAACACTTGGTTGAGCATTATCAAGAATCACTAAAGAACAAAGAGAAAAATCCTGAGGCAAATTTTATCTCTGAAAATCAAGTTGACATCATGCACTTGGATGTAGCAGATTTTTTCGCACATCCTGAAGGAAAAATAGATCACTTAATTGGTGATGGTTCTGTGAACATGGAAGAGTGATATTTTTTTTTTGGTAGTATTTATTAATAAACTAGTGAACTTAGCCGCGCTTTGCGCGATAAAAAATTATTCGTTAAATCTGCTAAATAATTAATTTTTTGAATAGTTAATTATTAAATATATTTCTAAAGATTCTTTATAGTCTTTAATCTAAATATATCAAATTTTAAGTCTTAATTAAGTTTATTATTTGTACTTAAATTTTATATCTTTTGTAATTTGAAATCGCTTAAGAATTTTTGAAATTATAAAAAAAATCCTAAATTTATTCTCTTTATTTTAATAAGAAAAGTAAATTTAATGTAATAAGTTGAACTCTTTATG